GTACATGGAGCTTCACTGATTGCTCAGAAAACAGAACACCCATGCTTTGTTTTGGATACATACAAACATCAGAAATATTTGCACAGGTTTCCCCTCTACTTAAAAGAATTTAAAAGAGAAAGTTTTCCATTCAACCATTACATGGGTGAAAAGGATAATAACGTCAGCAGCTAACAGGAAATGAGTCGCTGCTCTTTGCCGGGCGCTGGCCTGAGCGCATCAAAAGAAAGGCTTCCTTCAACCTTCTCAACAATACTCTGAAGTAAAACCAGGAGGATTCCCGAGTTACAGAGGGGGTTTAGGATAGTCACCGTGGTAGGCAGAATAATTCTCCCCAGAGATGTCCACATCCTCATCCCTGGAACCTGTGAGTGAGCTACATGGCAAAAGGACGTTGCAGGGCTTCCCTGGTGGCACAGTGGTTGAGAGTCCGCCTGCCGATGCAGGGGACACGGGTTCGTGCCCCGGTCCGGGAGGATCCCACATGCCGCGGAGCGGCTGGGCCCGTGAGCCATGGCCGCTGAGCCTACGTGTCTGGAGCCTGTGCTCCGCAACGGGAGAGGCCACAGCAGTGAGAGGCCCGCGTACCGCAAAGAAAAAAAAAAAAGACGTTGCATATGAGATTAAGTTCACGATCTTGACATGGGGAGATGATGCTAGATGATCCAGGTGGTAATCACAAGGATCCTTGAAATCACAATGGAATCACAAGGAGACTTAAAATATGGAGGAGGGAGGGAGAGGGTAAAGTCAAATTCAAAGTCAGGTTTGAAGATATTACATTGCTGGCTTTGAAGATGGAGGAAGGGGCCATGAGCCGAGGAGTCCAGGCAGGCCCTAGAAGCTGGAAAAGGCAAGAAATGGATTCTCCAGATTCTCCAGAATCTCCAGCAGGAACACAGCCCTGCTGACACCTTGACGTTAGCCCACTGGGACCCCTTTTGGACTTCTGACCTCCAGTACTCTAAGATAGGAAAACTGTACTGTTTCAAGCCACTACATGTGTGTAACTTGTTACAGCAGCAACAGGAAACTAACACAGTCACCTCACATTAGTAAACGATGGAGGCTGGACTTGAACTCTGGTGTGCCTGATTCCAGATCTCATCCTGTGCTTTCTCACTGTTGTGGTTTGAATTGTGTCCCCGCCTCCCCACCCTCAAAAAAAATAATAATAATGTTGAAATCCTAATCCCCAGTATCTGTAAACGTTGCCTTCATTAGAAATAAGGTCTTTGCAGATAATCCAGGTAAACTGAGGTCATTAGGGCGGGCACTAATCCAAAGTGATTGGGATCCTTATAAAAGGGGGAATTTGACCACAGACGTGCACAGAGGGAAGATGATATGAAGAGACATAGGGAGAAGACAGCCGTCTACAAGCCAGGGAACGCCTGAGGCTACCAGAAGCCAGGAGAGATGCCTGGAACAGTCCTCACACCCTCAGAGGGAGCATGGCCCTGCCAACACCTTGATTTTGAACTTCCGGCCTCCTGAACTCTGAGACAATAAAACTGAACTGTTCTAAGCCACCCAGAGTGTGGTACTTTGTTTCAGAAGCCCTAGGAAAATAGCACACCCACACTGCAGAACAACCTCAAGGAATTTGAGTCTACAGTCTAAGGGAGACACATTCTCCACAGCCAGCATTAAGGAAGCTATTAATAAGAAACTGGAAACAATACCAACTTACTTGTATGCATAAGTTTTTATTTTATAGGTACTTTTTACCAGTATAAACTTATCTGATCATACCACGATCATGTAAGCAAGGCAAGGATTGTGTCACTAGCATGGCGCTACCATAGTAGTATGTATGTTTCAGACACCAGCCTTAGACTATGCAAATCCTACCCCAGTCACTGACTCAGGAAAGTTACTAACCTTTGATGATCCTCGGTTTCTTCATCCGTGCAATAGAAATCATCATAATAGTTCCTGCCTCATGAGGTTCTTGAGATGGTTAAATTAGAGAACACATGTAGAGTTCTTCATCCAGCCAGAAAGAAGCCCCAAGAAAACCCTTTTATATGATAGGAAAACTGAAGCTCAGAGAAGTTAAGTGATTTCCCTAAGTACATTTGGCTTCTAAGTCACAAAACCAGGACTAAAATCCAAGGCTTCTAAATACTAAGGCAGGGGCTTCCCTGGTGGCGCAGTGGTTAAGAATCCGCCTGCCAATGCAGGGGACATGGGTTCGAGCCCTGGTCCAGGAAGGTCCCACATGCCGCAGAGCAACTAAGCCCATGCGCCACAACTACTGAGCCTGTGCTCTGGAGCCCGTGAGCCACAACTACTGAGCCCGAGTGCCGCAACTACTGAAGCCTACACGCTCTAGGGCCTGTGCTCTGCAACAAGAGAAGCCACCGCAATGAGAAGCCCACGCACCGCAAGGAAGAGTAGACCCCGCTCACCGCAACTAGAGAAAGCCCGCGCGCAGCAACGAAGACCCAACGCAGCCAAAAATAAAATAAATAAATTTATAAATACCAAGGCAGAACTCTTTGCACCATAATATCCTGTCTATTACCTTTCATTTTCATTATTCTTTGGTTTAAATAAATCTGAACCTTTTTATCTTTTGAGCAATTCTAAATTTAGTTCTGCTTCCCATGCCCACCCCATCAGTCAAGAAAGATTACAGTTTCTATAAACCACTAAGTCTTCTTGCCCAATTCTTTTACGAGACCCTTTATGCCAAGAACTAAGTCATCTTATTGCCCAACAGCAAAGTAGTTCTCTCAAGATAATGCCTTCTCTAGGTAAAACACTGAGATGTAAAATGATGGAAGACACCTCAGCCCCTGCCGCCAGCCCCCAAACTGCTGACTCCCCCAAACCTGCCATATTGTATTCCAGAGTCACCATGGTTTGGCAAGGCAACCCTGATAACTCACGAGTTCTTTTGGTGTTTGTAAATAAACTCAGCACCCTGCAGATTGAAAAGCTGCCTTGGGACCTCACTTCCCCCTTATTATATGTTCTACATTTATCCAACCATCTCAGAAAGCGGTTCTCCTTAAAATTATGAGTGCAGAATGAAAAACCCATCGGGATTTAATGACCATATTTCAGCATCTTATTGCTTAAAGGAAGTTGGCTTTTTCAGTGCTTTTGCAACTGTGCAAACAGGAAGCAGATGAAAAAGGTAGAGGGAGAGTTTGATTTTTCTTTTAACCTCCACAAACCACCCATCAAAGTTAAACTATTGATAGGGAGAAAGGAGAAGGTAGGAAGAACCACGGGTGAGGAAGATTGGAGAATATTAAAAAAGACAATCTCTCAGTCTAATAAAATACAATTAACTGAATTTCATCAAGGCCTCTATAAAAAATACACAAAGAATCAATATTAGGCATAAAACCCAAAAGTGGGTTGTTATCTCTAAACCAGAGAAAACATTTCATTAGGCTGAAGGGTTTTATACTCCCATTGGGAAAATTGCTTTTTCCTCTCACCACTCCTTTGCTTGCTACAGAAACTCAATTGAAAAGTCAATCATCAAAATCACTTAACAAATGTCAAAAGGTACTGCCACTTTCTAAATATATTTGTTTATGGAAAATTCAACCCCTAGAAACCCTGGCACCTTTCCTCTGAACTGACTCACACCCCTCCATCATTTTGCTGTTTTTACTTTTTCACAGATTTCTTTTTCTGTTTGCTTGTTTTTGTTGTTGGAAACAGAAAGCCCATTTTATAAGGTTATGGCGAACAGCTTTTCCCCCTAACATTTCAATGTTCTTTCATAGCCACTGCACCGCTGAGCCCTCCTGCTGCCCCGAGTTATAAATAAGTATCGCTCTTAAGTCCCACTGGCCACAGCAAGAAAAGCCTTTTCCAGGCTAATCACATGCGGGGTAGTCCTTCCACACATCTTCTCTGGAAAACACTGTTGTTTCATTTACCCTCTGCCCAGTAACAATGCTGGTTTGGTTTCAGGTCCTGCCAGCCCCAGCTGGACAAGGCACGCCCCTTCCTTCGCGACTCACAAAAACACAAGTGGAACAGATACACAGAGACCCCAGGAGCGGAATGTGAAGGTCAGGCACACACACACAGTCAGAGCTGGAACTTAAAGAATCACCTGGAGACCTCAAGTCATAAAGTCCTGAACCAGATAGAGCGTGATGTAAGACTGCTATGCCTGGATACCAATGACCTGACTCCTAGTAAACAGTAACCACAGTAAAATAGCAATTGATGGGGTACCTCCGATGGGCACTTGACATGTTTTATCCTTCTACTTCTGAATTCTTTCTTCACTGGCAGCTGGGGCAGATTGCTGCATTTTCTGGACAGAGTGTTGTTAAACTCACATGTAATATATCTGAACACGCTTTATCAACTATCAAGGGCTTTAAGACAGGAAAGAACTATTTTGCCTATAGCACAACTTGTTCTGTTCGTCACCAGTCTGTGTGTGTATTCATTTATTCAGCTAACTAAATTAACCAGACTGTCTACGTATTTCTAACATTTTGCCTTGTCCATGTGGATGTCTCCTAAAGATGCCAGATGGTGACAACAGCGGACAGCTGCAGCACAGTCCTGGTCCCTAAAGAACATGTCTGGTGTCTGTGTTCTCCTAATAATCCTTGAATTTGGAAAGCCACCTCTGATGCTGTCAGGTCCAAACCCTTTTCCTGATCACCCAGCTCTTTCCAAAAGAACTTTCCATCATCAACAGGGAAAGTATCTAAACCTTAAAAGGACTTGTAAAAAAAAGAATTTACTTAGTACTGAAGGATGTACTTTACCTACGTGTCGTGGTATATTTCATTAGCGCGTAACCGCCATGAAAACCTTGGTCTGCATTGCCAACAGCTCACACACGGCCTGGCACTCAGTGAAAACATAAAGACAACATATTGCATCCACGAAATATCAAAAATTGGACTATAGTTAATATTAAATTGTGGTAGAAAAAGAAGCAATTGACTACATCATACAACTGAGTGAAAATCAGGATTGACCAGTAATTAGCAGGATCACAGCGGTGTGGCTAATGTACACTAAAGCCATTTAATAAATTAGCATTTGAAGAACAAAGGGATTATTCAAGTAAGGGTGGTGGCAGCCAGCAAAGGACTTTTAGCCATAACATTAAACCTGCCTAAATCACACATGGATCTGAGTAAAGATAGTAAGAATTATGGTAAGAAAGCCAATACGATACTTCACACAATAATAGTAAGAATTATATATTAGATATATGTAAATATATAGTTTAGTTTATAATATTTTAACAGCATATTCGTATCCATAAAACCTTTGACTTCCAACCTCTGATCAGAGTAATAAATCCCCTTTTCCACGCCAGAGAAAGCTACTGAGACTTTAACCATAGTCATGCTGTCATCTAGCGGACATCCCTTAGAACTGCGGTTCTTCCATCTCCTGGAAATTGTTAAAAAAGGATTTAAAGTGCTAAGGTTCATGTCAGACATCGCTTTTCCCTTAGGAGGCTAATTTGTGGAATTCCTTTATAGATTTCCTTGAGTGTATCTCAGAGAATTCTTACACTATCCCATTCTTCTGTCTTGGTAGAAAGATATTTTCAAATATGTCAGTGACACTCGGTGAGTCAGAATAGAATTTCTGTTTATCTGCTTTTGTCTAAAAATGAGAAGCTTCGCACAAGAGAAAAGATGTCCCCTGGAAAGAAGCACCATCAAAGGGGCAATCGCCTGCCTTTTGTTGAGCTCCATGGCGTGTCTTTGAGGAGCTAGACCTCAAACGGAAACTCTGGCCAATCGCTTCCTCTTTTTTTTTTCTTTTTGTTGCTGTCCTGAGGCATCTATGAGCACTGTTTTGTGACAAAAGTGCTACTCTTTGGAAAGAGATGTTTTGCTTTAGCCCCTTTACATGCATGGCTGCAGGATTGAGGTCACACCAGGAGGAGGAAGGACATGAATGAAAAAGCAGAGAGGCTGGGCTCCTTCCCCAGCTGTGCTCCCTGAAGGAGTCATCTCTCCGAGCCTTAGTTTCTCCTTCTGCCAAAAGGGCAGGGGCATTAGATGACGAAAAGTAACTCCTCGCTCAAAAGCACATTCAGGTACATCTACCTACATATGTGAACTTTACTGCCCTATGAACAAAGCAAGTACTGTGCCAGGATTACAAACATATATAAATAGATAAACATGTAATACGAATAAGTACATAACATACACAATGTATTAACTTATACATTGCCTGCTATACATAAAATAATATATAATGTATAAATATTTATATATATATGTATTTGCCAAAGTGATAAGCAAAAAAATGCTGTCTTTTTATTATTTTAATTAATCTATACATTTTCACGATATCTCCTGTGCACTAGAGCACCGCAAGTCTCACATGGTGACCATCAGAATGCTTTGGTTGACTCGGTCTCCGCCTGGGAATGGCAGCTAAGGAGGCTTCCTTACCACAAACTGCTAAAATGGCCATTCTCCGTGGATCCTGCAGGCTTTGCAGAGGTCCTCAAGGGAAGAACTGTTTTACCTGCACACCCCGGGGTGCTCTGTTCTGAAATGCATCACCCTCCAGGGCAACACTCCTGAGGATGTGATCAACCACTGCTGAGCCCCTGGTGGCCATCTTGTCTCTGTTTGCTCTGTGGTGTCCCCATTCACTCAGCAGGAAAGGCGAGCTTTTGGTTTTAACTGTAATACAGAACTGGCCCTTCACTGGTCAAAGGCTGTTCACAGGACTCCCAGAGGCACTCAGATGGGTGCCCCTTAGGGATCTGCAGCTCCCAGCTTGGGGAAGCCTGGGGAGCTGGACACACACACACACACACACACACACCCAAGGTGCCAGCTTCTTGACTTGGGCCACCTACGCCATCTCTCTGTGCCTTACTTTCTGCAAATAGTAGTTTACAGGATTAAAAGAGCTCACTTTGAAAGTAGCAGAAGCAGAGGCTGCCTCCAAGATGCCGACTCCCTCTTCTCCTTACTGGAAGGGACTTCTGCCCCTGTTCCCTGGGTCTTTTCCTTCTCTGCTGAAGTGAGTAGGTCCACCTAGAAGGCAACCTTAAGGTTCCCTCTGCCTCTCTCCATAACCTGCAGCCTTGTATGCCAGCCCCGTGGGGTCTTCTCCTTTGGAAACCCCAAGCCCACCCCCACTGCTGCTGCATCTAGAAGCACTCAGGAGCCCCAGTCTTCCCTCTTGAAACACCTCAGCTACAAAGCCCTCTGCCCAGCCCCAATCAAAAGGACTCAGCTCTTTCAATTCTCCAAATCTAGAATCCCTTGACTCCTTCTACAAAGGATATTCATCTTAGGTGGCCGAAATAGCTCAGCTGGGAGAGCGTTAGACTGAAGATACTCATCTCTGCCATGCATATAAAAACGAGAAGCAATCAAAATGACTAAAAACAGGGACTATTAGATTAGGGTCCACAACCTCTAATGAATGTAGCATGGCCACTAAAAATTACAATTATGAAGCCACATAAAAATACAGTACATTTTACAAAATTGCAAACTATAGACTAATGCTTTGAAGACTGATTATGACGATGTCAAAATGTGCCTATACACGGGCAAAGGAATCCAGAAAGAGGAAAATTGCTTTGTTGTTAGGATATAAGTATTATGGCGAATTATTTAAAATTTTTAAAATGTCCTTTTCATTGTTATAATGTCTTCTTATAACAGATAAAATTTGACCTAACAAGCACGAAGAGCAGAATTTATTTAAAATTTCCATCTTAAATGGTTAAAATAAATAGAACACTAAAAATAACAGTGTTGAATTAAATACACGTACTACAAGTTTATAGTAATGATAGCTCTCATTTCCAGAATACTTAGTATATGCCATGCGTGCATAATCTCATTTAACCTGATAACCATACTTATAGGATTAATTTACCTAATTTCACACATGAGGAACCTGCAGCCCAAAGAAGGGAAGTGTTGTGCCCAAGATCAGAGAACAAAAGGCAGAGGTGAGGGAGGTCTGTTTGGATTTCCAAACCCAACGATGGGGGGGCAGGGGGCAGTCACTTATACTGCATGATTCATTGCTAACACAGCCGAGCACCTATGGAGTATTAACATAAAAGCTTGGTAACGTTTTCTGCCTTATTTAGCAGTGCAAGCATGCCCAAATACTTCATTTGGGTAATTTATATGAGTGGAAAATGCTTAAAATCAGATTACACTTTTCACTTTGCCTATCTCTGAAACGCAGTTAATGGGCTACAGGTAAACTATGTGATACTTATTAAAATGGACTTTTATTGCATCCTAAATAGCTGTGGTAGCTTCACTGCGAATTTTAAACGTGCACTTCCTTTACTTTCACTCTGAAAATACAGTTTATATGATTCCTTGCTAATCCATTTCTTATCTGATTAGTATTTGATGACTCAAGTTCAGCAGCTGACACATACTAATGATTCTGTCTACAACAGTGGAAGAGGGAAGGGGTGGTGTGACCCACACGAAAAAAGTGCCTGCGATGTTATAGACTAATTCACATCTGCAAAGCCATTTAAGCCTTCAAGAAAACACTGTACTCATGTTTTGTCATTTGGCCTCTCAGAACCTTGCATGAAAACATAATTCATCTCACACAACTGGTGTCCTAGACGTTCCAAGTAAAACAAGTTGCTGTTATTGAATTATACTTTCTGGCCCCCAAAAAGTATTGGAAGGGCCCTGCATCCCAAGCCACTACAGAAATCACACCCTCACCCCCAACAATTTTGTCTGCTAAAATTAGGTTCAAGTGTGTTTGATAAACGAGGAGACGGAAAGTTGTCATAAAGATGATAACTACAGAGGAATATAACGGTAGAAGAACAATCCCGATTATTTGCTTTGTTGAGAGTGGAGGGCAATTATGGTCAGATTATCAATCTTTTAGCCTCAGGCCTTTATATTCTACCAAAAGTTAATGGACAATCCATAACACATGGAGAACGCATCACTGGCATCACCATGTCCCTTATAATCCAGACAAGATTGGCTGTAACCCCCATTTCATTTCAACCATCCACAAGATTTCTGGGGATTCATGCCTTTCCATGGCCTCTGATTTAGAGCCCTGCTTCTGCCAAATTGGCTAAATTTCTGGATTATCTCCTCATCCGATCCCTGTTCTGCTCTGCACCAACCCTCCCCAGGGACGTCGCAGTTTCCTGCATCTGCACAAACCACCTTTTCTCTTCCTCTGTCTCTCTCAATTTCTCTCTCTCATACACACACATGCTTACATACATCATACATGCATATCCACAACCATGCCTGCATTCACATGCACACACATGCACATATACATTCACACAAGCACACCACATAGAAAAAGCATACCCTTGTGTGCACAATATACTTCACCAAAGATCTCAACAAACTGGGAGGGGGGAGAGCTACATTACTAACATGCAGCCCCTTGGTGTTGAGCATCGGTCATCTCTGTGCATAAAATTCCTTTGAGCTCTTTACCCACAGGGGCACCACGATGGTTAACTGTATGTGTCACCCTGACAAGGTCACAAGATGCCCAGCTATCAAGTTAAACATTATTTTGGGCTGTGTCTGTGAGAGGGTTTCTCAAAGAGATTAGCATTGGAATTGATGGGCTAAGGCAGGTGGTGCTCCTCAGGTGTGGGTGGGCATCATCCAGTCTGTGGAGGGCCTGCATAGAACAGAAAAGTGGAGAAAGGTTGGATTCACTCAGCCTGACTGCTTGAGCTGCTGGGACATCGGTTTCCTGTCTTTCCTTCTCCTGGTGCTCAGGCCTTCAGACCTCGACTGGAAACTCCATCTCGCAAAGAGCAGATCATAGGATTTCTCAGCCTCCATAATTATGGGAGCCAATTCCTTATAATAAATCTCTTTCTAGATTTACATATACATATACATGTACGTATACATATACATCCATACCCTATTGGTTTTGTTTTTCTGGAGAACACTGACTAATAGAATAGAAGCACTTCATACTTCTTTGGCCTCTGGCCCCCGCTCCAGCTTCATCCTCCCTTCTCCTTCTCCCCAAGTCCTGATATCTATACACAGCACTTTTTTTTTTTCTTTGCGGTACACGGGCCTCTCTCTGTTGTGGTTTCTCCCGTTGTGGAGCACAGGCTCCGGACGCGCAGGCTCAGCGGCCATGGCTCACGGGACCAGCCGCTCCGCAGCATGTGGTATCTTCCCAGACCGGGGCACGAACCCACGTCCCCTGCATCGGCAGGCAAACTCTCAACCACTGCGCCACCAGGGAAGCCCTATACACAGCACTTTTGAAATTCCTTGGGTTGTCTTGACTCCTAAGAACCCACAGTGCTTCCACTTCCATTCCCAGATGACTTCTCAAGATATTTTCCTAAAATAGCTCCCTTCCTGGGAATATTTCCAGTAGCAGATGTTAAAATAATACATTCTTTCCCTACATGCTTCTCTCTTCCCTGCTTTTCTCATGCCTATTTTCTCCCTGACCTACTTTGTCCTGGTAGCCAGGACAATAAACAAAAGCCATATTCTGGATTTGATAAAGCCCAGTAACACAAAGAATCATTAATTAAGTTTAAAACCATTCTATCTTTATGGGTATCCCACTAATCTAAAGGACTTTACTGGCCTAGTCTGTGTTAAACACAGAGTTTACCTGTATATTCCTTGGCTTGGGATCCAGACCATCCAGAATCTCCATCGATTTCATGGCACTCAGCTCTATTCAGGGACAGCTCTATTCAGGGACAGCCTAGAAGGCAGATGTTCAGTAATCCAAGAAGAAAGAAAAATTAAGAAAATAATCCCATTTACAACTGCATCAAAAAGAATAAAATACCTAGAAATAAACCTAACCTAGGAGGTAAAAGATTTGTACTCTGAAAACTATAAGACATTGATAAAAGAAATGGAAGGTGATGCAAACAAATAAAAATATGTATCATGTTCATGGATTGCAAGAATTAATATTGTTAAAATGACCATAATACCCAAAACAATCTACAGATTCATGAAATCCCTATCAAAATATCAATGGCATTTTTCACAAAACTAGAACAAATAATTCTAAACTTTCATGGAAACACAAAATAACCCAAATAGCCAAAGCAAGCTTTAGAAAGAACAAAGTTGGAGGAGTCACACTCCCTGACTTCAAACTATCAAACTATACTACAAAGCTGAAATAATCAAAAATATATGGAACTTGGGGGGACCCTCAAGATGGTGGAGGAGTAAGATGTGGAGATCACCTTCCTCCCCACAAATACATCAAAAATACATCTACATGTGGAACAACTCTTACAGAATACCTACTGAATGCTGGCAGAAGATCTCAGACCTCCCAAAAGGCAAGAAACTCCCCACATACCTGGGTAGGGCAAAAGAAAAAAGAAAAGACAGAGACAAAAGAATAGGGGTGCTTCCCTGGTGGTGCAGTGGTTGAGAGTCCGCCTGCTGATGCAGGGGACACGGGTTCATGCCCCAGTCCAGGAAGATCCCACATGCCGCGGAGCGGCTGGGCCCATGAGCCATGGCCACTGAGCCTGCGCATCCGGAGCCTGTGCTCCGCAACGGGAGAGGCCACAACAGTGAGTGGCCCGCATACCGCAAAAAAAAAAAAAAAAAAAAAGAATAGGGACAGGACCTGCACCTCTGGGAGGGAGCTGTGAAGGAGGAAAGGTTTCCACACACTAGGAAGCCCCTTCACTGGCGGAGATGGGGGGGTGGGCGGGGGGGAAGCTTCAGAGCCACGGAGGAGAGCACAGCAACAGGGGTGCAGAGGGCAAAGTAGAGAGATTCCTGCACAGAGGATCAGTGCCGACCAGCACTCACCAGCCCAAGAGGCTTGTCTGCTCACCTGCCAGGACGGGCGGGGGCTGGGAGCTGAGGCTCAGGATTCGGAGTTCAGATCCCAGGGAGAGGACTGGGGTTGGCTGCGTGAACACAGCCTGAAGGGGTTAGTGCACCACGGCTAGCCGGGATGGAGTCCAGGAAAAAGTCTGGACCTGCCTAAGAGGCAAAAGACCGTTGTTTTGTGGTGCGTGAGGAGAAGGGATTCCTCCCCTGTGTGCCCACAGAAGTCAGAGCACTGCCTAAACGAGCTCCAGAGACAGGCACAAGCAGTGGTTATTAGCTCAGACACCACAGATGGGCATGGAACGCTAACGCTGCTGCTGCAGCCACCAAGAACCCTGTGTGCAAGCACAAGTCACTATCCACGCCTCCCCGGGAGCCTGTGCAGCACACCATTGCCAGGGTCCCATGATCCAGAGACAAGTTCCCCAGGAGAACACACGGTGCACCTCAGGCTGTTGCAATGTCACTCCAGCCTCTGCCACCACAGGCTCGCCCTGCATTCCAGTTATAACTACTGTACCCCATCCTCCCCCCGGCCTGAATGAACAAGAGCCCCCTAATCAGCTACTTCTTTAACCCCATCCTGTCTGGGTGGGAATAGATGCCTGAGGGTGACCTACATGCAGAGGCGGGTCCAAATCCAAAGCTGAACCCCAGGAGGTGTGCAAACAAGGAAGAGAAAGGGAAATTTCTCCCAGCAGCCTCAGGAGCAGCAGATTAAATCCTCACAATCAACTCGATGTACCTGCATCTGTGGAATACCTGAATAGACAATGAATCATCCCAAAATTGAGGCAGTGGACCTTGGGAGCAACTGTAGACTTGTGGTTTGATGTCTGTGACTGATTTCTTTCTGATTTTTATGTTTACCTTAGCATAGTTTTTAGCGCTTGTTATCACTGGTGGATTTCGTTACTAGTTTTGTTGCTCTAAATTTTTATTACTTTTTTTTTCATTAAAAATTTTTTTTTCTTTCCTTTTTTCTCCCTTTTCTTCTGAGCCATGTGGCTGACAGGGTCTTGGTGCTCTGGCCTGCTGTCAGGCCTGAGCCTCTGAAGTGGGAGAGCTGAGCTCAGGACATTGGACCACCAGAGACCTCCTGGCCCCATGTAATATCAATCGGTGAGAGCTTTCCCAGAAATCTCCATCTGAACGCTAAGACCCAGCTCCACCCAACAACCAGCAAGCTCCAGCGCTGGACGGCCCACGCCAAACAACTAGCAAGACAAGAACACAACCCCACCCATTAGCAGAGAGGCTGCTTAAAATCATACTAAGTTCACAGACACCCCAAAACACACCACCGGAAGCAGGCCTGTCCACCAGAAACACAAGATCCAGCCTCATCCACCAGAACACAGGCAACAGTCCCCTCCACCAGGAAGCCTACACAAGCCACTGAACCAACCTCACCCATTGGAGGCAGACACCAAAAACAATGGGGAATATGAACCTGCAGCCTGGGAAAAGGAGACACCAAACACAGAAGTTAAAAAAATGAGAAGACAGAGAAATATGCAACAGATGAAGGAGCAAGGTAAAAACCCACAAGATGAAACAAATGAAGAGGAAATAGGCAGTCTACCTGAAAAAGAATTCAGAGTAATGATAGTAGAGATGACCCAAAATCTTGGAAATAGAATGGAGAAAATACAAGAAGCATTTAACAAGGACCTAGAAGAACTAAAGAGCAAATAAACAGTGATGAATAACACAATAAATGAAATTAAAAACTCTCTAGAAGGAATCAATAGCAGAATAACTAAGGCAGAAGAACGGAAAACTGACCTGGAAGAAAAAATTGTGGAAATAACTACCCACAGAGCAGAATAAAGAAAAAAGAATGAAAAGAATTGAGGACAGTTCTGAGAGACATCTGGGACAACATTAAATGCACCAACATTCGAATTATAGAGGCCCCAGAAGAAGAAGAGAAAAAGAAAGGTCTGAGAAAATATTTGAAGAGATTATAGTCGAAAACTCCTTAACATGGGAAAGGAAATAGTCAATCAAGTCCAGGAAGCACAGAGAGTACCATACAGGATAAACCCAAAGGGAAAGACACAGAGACACATATTAATAAAACTATCAAAAATTAAATACAAAGAAAAAACATTAAAAGCAGCAAGGGAATAACAACATAACAAACAAGAGAATCCCCATAAGGTTAACAGCTGATCTTTCAGCAGAAACTCTGCAAGCCAGAAGAGAGTGGCAGGACACATTTAAAGTGATGGAAGGGAAAAACCTACAACCAAGATACTCTACCCAGTAAGGATCTCATTCAGATTTGAAGGAGAAATTAAAACATTTACAGACAATCAAAATTTAAGAGAATTCAGCACCACCAAACCAGCTTTACAACAAACGCTAAAGGAACTTCTCTAGGCAGGAAACACAAGAGAAGGAAAAGACCTACAAAACCAAACCCAAAACAATTAAGAAAATAGTAATAGGAACATACATATCGATAATTACCTTAAATGTAAATGGATTAAATGCTCCAACCAAAAGACACAGACTGGCTGAATGCATACAAAAACAAGATCCATATATATGCTGTCTACAGGAGACCAACTTCAGACCTAGGGACACATACAGACTGAAAGTGAGGGGATAGAAAAAGATATTCCATGCAAATGGAAATCAAAAGAAAGCTGGAGTAGCAATTCTCATATCAGACAAAATAGACTTTAAAATAAAGACTATAACAAGAGACAAAGAAGGACACTGCATAATGATCAAGGGGTCAATCCAAGAAGAAGATAAAACAATTGTAAATATTTATGCACCCAACATAGGAGCACCTCAGTACATAAGGCAAATGCTAGCACTCATAAAAGGGGAAATCAAAAGTAATACAATCATAGTAGGGGAACTTAACACACCACTTTCACCAACAGACAGATCGTCCAAAATAAAAATAAATAAAATAAACACAAGCTTTAAATGACGCATTAAACAAGATGGATTTAATTGATATTTATAAGACATTCCATCCAAAAACAACAGAATACACTTTCTTCTCAAGTGCTCATGGAACATTCTCCAGGATACATCATATCTTGGGTCACAAATCAAGCCTTGGTAAATTTAAGAAAACTGAAATCATATCAAGTATCTTTTCTGACCACAATGCTATGAGACTAGACATCAACTACAGGAAAAGGTCTGTAAAAAATACAAACACAAGGAGGCTAAACAATACACTACTAAATAACCAAGAGATCACTGAAGAAATCAAAGAGGAAATCAAAAAATACTAGAAACAAATGACAATGAAAACACGACAACCCAAAACTTATGAGATGCAGGAAAAGCAGTTCTAAGAGGAAACTTTATAGCAATACAACCCTACTTCAAGAAACAAGAAAAAATCTCAAATAAAGAACCTAACCTTACACCTAAAGCAATTAGAGAAAGAAGAACAAAAAGACCCCAAAGTTAGCAGAACGAAAGAAATCATAAAGATCAGATCAGAAATAAATGAAAAAGAAATGAAGGAAACAATAGTAAAGATCAATAAAACTAAAAGCTGGTTCTTCCTTTTTTTTTTTTTAATGGAATCATACAGTATCTGTCTTTCCTCTTTTTTAAAATTAATTTATTTATTTTTGGCTGCATTGGGTCTCATTGCTATACACAGCCTTTCTCTAGTTGCGGCGAGCGAGTGCAACTCTTCATTGTACAGCGTGGGCTTCTCATTGTGGTAGCTTCTCCTGTTGTGGAGCACAGGCTCTAGGCGCACGGGCTTCAGTAGTTGTGGTTTGCAGGGTCTAGAGCACAGGCTCAGTAGTTGTGGCACACAGGCTTAGTTGCTCCATGGCATGTGGGATCTTCCCAGACCAGGGTTCAAACCCGTGTCCCCTGCATTGACAGGTGGATTCCTAACAA